TGTATAATATAAAAGAACATTCAAAAAAGCTTTTTTTAAACATCATTAAGTACAAAATTTTTTAAAATTAAAACAAAAAATTAAATAACAAATTTATGAAAGTTATATTCTTATTTTTTAAATTGATAAAAATGTAAAAATTTTAAATAAACAATTTTAATATATCAAATATATACATTTTGTTTCGCTTTCATATAATTAGCATTTCGTGTGATATACAAAATACTAATTATAAAAAAAAAAAAATTCAGCAAGTATAAAGCAGAAAATATAAAAGAAAATTTAATTTGAAGCTTTTTCTAATAGTAAATCAAAAAAAAAGGAATTCATAATTTTGTAGAAGTCTATTTTTTTTTCAATGAAATTATTACTTTTATAAATAAATCATATATAAAATATGTTATTTAAAAAATATATTAAATGAAAATGTATTTTTTGTTTTTTGTTGTGTTTCGTTATTTTTAATCACCAAAATAATAGTGTAATTGTATATCCAATATTTAAATTTTTTATAAATATTAGTTATCTAGAGATTATGTTAGAATATTTTAAATATTTTAATAATTACAAATAACTTCCAATTTGATTTATGTTCATTTTATTTTTTTTTTAATTCTTTTTACTTTAATTTAAACAATTTTCAATTGATTATTTATTAAATTATTACACATTATAATATTTATTTTTCATTTAATTCATACAGTATACTGTTATATAATATTTTCAATTAGAGAAATTATCTATTTATTTATGTAAATACTTTATAAATATTATAATAATATATTTATGAAATTGGTGCAATCATCATACGGAAATTTATTAAACTTGATACATGGAAAATAATCACAAATATTTGAGTCGCACCATTTGACATGATGGGTTATTATTCAAAATTTTGAATTTTCAATAATTTGAAATTACTTTCTTCTTTATTGAAAATAAGAAATTATAGATAGCAACACTACATTGTGCAATAATTAACAAAATTCGACAATTTAACTTATATTTTTACTGAAACATTTAGTTGCGATGATGTGATACTGTTCTAAAATTAAGATTTAGATTGCAGATTGACTACTTTAATTTTTTGATAAAAACAAAATTATCATTATGGATTTTTAATTACGAATATTATGTATTTGTATTAAACTGTATAAATATATATATATATATTATATTTAAATTTTTTTAATTAATTCAATTATGTTTCCATAATTATGCATTTGATATATTTATGTAGTTTTTATCATTACATCATGTATATGTTTATGTTGATAAAACAATTTTTTATAGATAAAATATTTATGTGTTGAAAAAATAATTTTTTTTCTGTTTTATTATTAAAAAGTATAATTTATTATTAGTCATTCAGAGCTTGAGAATATATAAAACTATATCACTAGTCTTAATATACATATATCTAACTGTTATATAATTCAAATATGTGTATATATTATAATTATACATATAGTATTTATATATATTATAAATGTTGTGTGATAATAATTTTGCATACAACGCTGATACAAATCACATATCATATTATAACAATATAATGCACATATTAAATTAAATACACTCTAGAAATATTTAAATAAAATCTATTCTTTAAATTTCTTTGTAATTATTATCATGTAATATGAATTGTGTCTTATTTTTTTATATTTTCCACATATATTTATATATATATACATATATATTCATATATATTTTTTTTTTAATTATTACTACATATTATATCTAATATTATCAACGCATAATAATTATAATTTTATAATTTTATTTGTTTTCATTTCATATTTAAAATAAAACTTGTACATATATACTGTTATTTTAATGTTACAAAATTTATAATTTTTTGCAAATTTTTTAGTATTTTTAAATTTTGAGTTTATAGGTATGTACTTGCCTTTATAAATGTATAATGTTTTTATCTTTTTCTTTTTTTTTTATTTTTTTTTCTTTTTTTTTTTATTGTTAGAATGATATAAATGTTAAATTTATTAATTTTTTTTTATTTTTTCTCAGTTTTATTAATTTTTTTTTTGGTTTATAACCTTTTTTTTTTTTTGATTTTTTTTTTTGTTTTTTATTGTATTATATATATTTATATATAAAAAAAATATTAAGTAGTATTAAATTATGTTTTACTTTTTATGAATTTTTTTGTGAATTAGTTCAATTTATTTTAGCTCTCATTTTTACATATTTTTTCCCCAACTACAAATTGGACGCAGTGGTTATTTTTATATTTACAATATTTTTAGTATTATTGCATATTAGAGTGGGCTGTTAATCATAAAATACTTGTTAATGAAATAAAAAAACAAAATTAAAAAAAAAGAAACTAGGTAACAAAAAATTTCAAAATTTTTTGTTGCCTTATTTTATATATAATTGTAATTATTTATAGTTAATATTATAAATATCTATTTTCAGTTCAAAAAACAATTATTGTTATATTAAGATGAAATCCCCACTTATTTTAATATAGTTCGTAATTATATTTAAGAAATGTTGGATAGTAAAACAGTATTTTTAATTATAAATTTAATTTAATAAACAATTTTAAGTCGTTTTATTTAATTTTTGTGAAAAAAATAAAGAAAAAAAGAAAATTTAACTTAAAGGTTTTTTTTAAGAGTAGGTTAAAAAATATATAAAAATAATGCTTTTCAATTGTGTTTTTCACATGTTTTTTTCTTTTCGATTGCTCTTTTTCATTGAAATACTAATGAAACTTTGAAAACAAATTATATAATTACAGATAGTAAATATAAAACATATAAATTTTCTAACATATATTTATTTCATTTTCTTTATATTTTAGGTTTCGATATTTAATTTAATGTTTTATTTTATTTTTTCCCATATTTTTTTTTTTTTGTAGTGAAATTGGATTTTAATTTATATAATTTTATATTATTATTATATGTAATTATCGTTTAAATGATATTTAGTAGAATTTCTGTTTGATTTTGAATTTAATTTTTTTTTTGCTTCAAATAATTTTTTCTCTTTAGTTTTATTCTTAAAAAAAATTTTTTTTTAATAGTATAAATAAATAAGGTATTATAAAACCTTAAGTTTGTTTTTATTTTTATAATATTCAAATATAGAATTTTTTATTGTGGCTGTTATGTACTAATTTTTTATGGAATTTAATTTTATTTTAGAATGCTATAGAAAAATTCTGTTAATTTTCTATATATCTTTTGAAATGTCATTTTGCATATGGTGTATAAGTAAATATTTATTTTATATTTTATACGCTTTTATGTATTTACTTATCTTATTCAGTTATATAACATAAGTAAATACAAATATATATATATATATATATATACATATACATATGATATAATATAAGAATATTTATGCACATATGTATATAAGTACACATAAATAATTAAGTTTTTTTTTAAATATTTATAACTCCATAATTATCTTTAATTTCATTGTTATTATATTAAAAATTTAAATACATATTTTTAAAATTACATAATTTTGATTTAATAAAATTATGTTTAAATTTATTTATAATTTTAAATGTGTTTGTTGCAATTTTCTTACTATGTGTTTATTACATATTTTATTTTCCATTAATTACATTTGCATCTACCTCAGTGAAAAATGTGGAAATGAATAATATTAATCATAATAACAATAATAACATGAAATACGTAAACGTACTTTTGTTACAAGTGAAATTGACTACTGATCACTACTATTTAGTATTTGATCAGATTTTTTTTGCCGAAGCTTAATTTATAATGTAAAATATATTGTAATTATATTACACTACATAAATAATTAAATTACATAAATATATTTATATATGTTACTTGTATTAATTACATATATATATATATATATATATATATATATATATATATATATATATATATAAATTTTGCCTCTTGATATTGTATTTGTCAATATCAAATATGTATTGTAATTTTTGAAATTTATTTTATAGATGATTTTTTTAGACTTTTCAAGATGAATCATTAACATATTATTAATAGAAATTAGCATTTTTTCCAAAATTTTATTATTATATTCTTTGAAAAGTTTATAATTTCTATTCCCAATTGTCAAAAACCTATATAAATATTTATATTATACATAATATTCAATAATTAATTTTTTTCGAAAATGAATTTTTAATTCAAAGTAGGTAAAAAACATATAAATGCAATACAGAATCTTTAAAATATAAAAAGTAGAGGAAATTAATAAAATTTTCAAATATTCACAAAGCATTTAAATCGAAAAATTGAACTCTATACGTTTCCCAAACTTTTTAATAGCACTCAAAATACTTAATTTAATTAAAATATGTATTCGGAAACTGCTTTCAAATTTTATTTGATTTGCAATAAGTTGTTTTTAGTTTTTTTCTAGTTTTAAGTTTAACGCAAAATAATTTAATATCGTCATATAAAAGAAGAAATAATATGGAAAGTAAAATAATATCAATCGGTATGAAAGTTTCATATTTTTATATAAAGAAATTTTGAATGAATTGTTAAAAAATTTATTCTTATTTGATTACATTATAATTAACATTTTGAAACATATTTTACTATCAAATGGGAAACTAAAAAATTAATTATTAAAAAAAAAACTTTTGAATATTTGAAACATGAAATTTTCTATTAAAAAATATATGTGTTTTATGTAAATTTTGATATTTTTAAATTAAGATTTATATTTTCTTTAAATCTTACACGGAAATTTTTATTTTATTAAAAACTAGTAGCAAAAGAGGAAATAGATAAGAACTGATTGATGACATTTTCATTGCAAATTTTTAAAATGTTTTATACTATTCATCTTCATTATAAATATTTAATGTATGTATGTTTTGCTAAGATAATCTTAATTAATTATTTTTTTTACGTAATTAACTTTCTTTTAAATTTAAACAAAAATTAAATCTTACATAACTTTTGGAAAAAGTTTAACTACATTTATGTGTACATAATGCATCTTCTATATGTAAATATATATATATATATAAATGTTTGTGTACATAAATACAACAGAAATATGCCTAAAATAAGTTTAATATGTAAGGAAAATTTATAAATATAGAATATTTTTCTTTAATTTATTATTTATCTATTTCTAATTGATTCCTTTTTTTTTATGTGTTTATATTTTTAAAAATTAGATATACATACATATATATATTTTTTTTAATTAGTTTTTTGGTATTTTTTAATTTTTTTTTGTATTTTTCAATTATTTTGATGTTTTATGTATAAAAAAATTATTCTTATTAATATTTACATAATTTTCACTGAGGCAGACATTTGTTCATTTTTTTTTTTTTATTTTCCTTTAGTATTTCTTATTTGTGTTAATTTTAATATGTTTATTCTTAAAATTCGTAGCAAACTCACAAGGCCTTACTTAATTTATCAAATAATGTTTTTCCTTTTTTACAAAACTTTCTGTAACTAATACTTCCCTTTTACTTTATATAAAACTGAATTTAAAATTCAAATACTTATTGAAAGTAATTATAAAATCCATTAGACCTTTGACCAAGCTCTCGAATCGCAGCGAATGGGTCTTTTTCTTCTGAAACAGTATTATTAGTATTATTATGATTTTGTTGCTGAGATGTCTGTTGTGATGACTGCTGCGGTTGTTGTGTAGCAACGGCACCTTGGCTTAGAACTGCTGCATAAGTTGTATGCTGTTGCGGAGGATGAGGAAGCTGTTGATTTTGGTTATGATGTTGTTGTTGTTGCTGTTGCTGTTGTTGCTGCTGTTGTTGCTGTTGATGTTGTTGTTGCTGTTGTTGTTGCTGTTGAGATTGGTGTGATTGTTGATTTTGGTGTTGTATTTGATTTGAAACTGTTAAAGTATTCCTAGTATGGCCAGAAGCCGACACATTATTTGCTAGTAATAAATCGCATTCATTTTTAAAAGAATAATTATAAAATAGTTTTTGTATTGAATTCACGTTGCTATACGGCGAAATATCAGTCGTATTGAATAATGCTTCATATAAGTTCGATCCAGCAGTTAAATTATTAGCACAATTTGCTAAATTATTGTTTTCTAATAAATTATCTGGTGTTGAAGAAGATATTGATTGGTTATTAGATGATGTTGAGCTATGGTAATCCGTGCTTGTGCTGCTATTATTACTTATAGTTCCGATACTACTGGTACTGCTATTACTTCCAGCAATACCACTGCTGTTACTGCTCCCCAAGGCATGTCTTCGATATAATGGCACCGACTGTTCACGACTTGTTGTTGTAGATAGTCCTAATTCGGTGCCTAATTATTAAAAAAAAAAGTAAGCAAAGTCATTATGAAAATTATCACATAAAATGTAATTGCTTACCGTTCATCAAATAGTTTGCATTATTTGAATACATAGAAATTCCAATATTTTTTTGATTTTGCTGCACAACAGATTGTGGCTGTGAGTAGTTTTTCATATTTGGAATACTCGTGTTAACACTATTGTTTTGGTTGTTTGAATCGTTGCCAGTCATTCCTAAGAGGTCTCTTAAAATCGGCTGACTGATTTCGTTCCCGTTCATCAATGAATTAAATACCAAATCGATTTGTTGATAAAAATTGGGATTGGTGCTATCATTGGCATTGATTGCAGAAGAATTATTGGAGTTGTTTACTATATTTGCTCCGTGATTACTCATATTTGTTGTATTCATTAATCCAGCTTGTCTTTGATTAACAAAATTATTGGATGATGATGATGTTACTGCTGGTATTGAATTAGTTTTATTGTGGGTATAACACATTACTTGCTTTAAAATTTCTGTAAATTTATTAGCAGCTTCTTGGCCATGCATTTCTAGAAGTCTCAAATACCACTTGTACTGTGATTCTTTTGCTTCAAAGGCCATGTCATAAAAATTCATGTTAGGTGGTAGTAAGAAACTGTAATCATGATATTGAGGTAAATTTTGTTGATGTAAATGTTGTTGGTTTGCTATCTGTGGAGTTGTATTATTTAAGTTCATTGGAATATTGTGAACGTTGTTTAAAAACTGGTAATCTTTTTCTTTGTTGAGTAAAGTGTTACCGACTGTTGTTTGACTTATATGATTAGGTCTTAAAAGGTTGTCTAAGTGATTTTGTTGCTGTTGTTGCTGCTGTTGTTGAGCAGCCAATAAAGCTACAGCAGCGGCCTGCATAGCAGCGGGACTGGCCGGACCATTAGTTTGCTGATGAGTTTGTAATTGATTTCGCAACTGGTTAATGACTAAAGAATTTTGGTTACTTTGAAAACTTGAAGATGGTCCAATATGATTTGAAGAATTCTGATACATATATTTATTCATAGCACTTAAATCATGTGAATTTCGCAATGAATTTGACTGATTAGTAGAAGTTGCCGGATTAACAGACGAGAGATGATTTGAAGCCTGTTGAGATGGTCCCAACATAGGAGGACCTCCGGAACTTCCACTTGGACGTATATTCAAATTCATGTTGATTGGTTGTGGCGCAGAATTTTGACCTAATTGGGTTGTTGCTTGTGGCATTACACCGCCTGTATTATTTAATCCAGGTGGACCACGCATACTTGGTGGTTGATTGACCGATGTTTTCGGCACTACCCAAGGATTATTTTGAGGGGGTGGTCCCCAAAGCGAAGCGTTCGGATTATTACCTTGATTTTGTTGATTTGAAACAGGATGAGCTGGGTGAATGGATTGAGGCTGGGATTGATTTGGATGTTGAGGAGGAACATAATTTGGCCGAATCATTTGATTAGTGGAGTGCTGTTGTTGCTGCTGCTGCTGCTGTTGTTGTTGTTGTTGAGACCACATCATGTAAGATGAATATTGTTGGGCATTATTTATATTATTTTGAGGACCATGTAAATTGTATCCCTGTTGTGGAGGGGGTTGACCAGCAGTCGGTGGCGGACGAATTGGCATTTGATGATTATTATTATTCAATTGTTGGTGGGATCCTTTTTGCACAATATGCTGTTGTGGAGGAATCGAAACATTATTCTGATTCATCATTCCATAATGATGATTTGTTCCATACATCGAAGAAATTTGGTTACTTTGCTGTTGTGACTGCTGCGAATGCATAGAATGATGATGATGATGATGATGTTGTTGTTGTTGCTGTTGATAGTGGTGATGTTGTTGTTGTTGTTGCATTTGATGGGAAGATTGGTGACCGCCTACTGTACCACTGGACATTAAATACATTGCTGCTTGCTTGTTAAGATACGCTTCTGGTTGAAGAGCTCTTGGAATAAATTCTGGAGCTAAAGGATTTAAAATGTAACTTCTTTTTAATTCCACACCATCTAGTTGAGATCGTAAGAATGACCATGTTATTCCGAATAATGATTTATTTTGATTGCATATATCTATAAAACGTTCCCAAACTTTACGGCATCGTCCAATAGAGCAAAGCGCTACTGGATCACCTACGACGGCTACAAGACTTTGAGCCCTGGTTATTGCCGTGTTTAAGAGCTTAGAATTGCTCAAAAATCCATAATCAGCATCATCAGTATTAATTACGGTGTTGTTTAAGGAGTTTGATGGCAAACATGTTCGCCTAGTACGTACCGTCGATAAAAACACGGCTCGAAATTGTTTACCTTGTACATTGAGAACTCTTTCAACTGAAATACCGGGCATGCGTCTTTTTCTCAGCTCAGATCGAATTCGAAATACCTGGTCAGCATATGGTGTCATTATACCGATACTAGAATCATTTATTTTGCCCCAAGAGCTGGGCCATTTTTTTCGTAATTCGCACACTCTTTCCACTACCTCATATACTTCGGAATTGTTATAAAATGCTGTAGAATTTTTATCTTGAACATCTTCCCCACGAGTTGTAAAAAACGTAAGTGGGTAAAATCTGTCATGTCTTGGTTGCTTTCCAGATGCTATCAACTTCTGTTCATAAAACAATTCAGAGGTAAATCGTATTATTGCTTCATGAGCACGATAATTTTCACATAGTAAAATTTTACACGGAAAATTTGACGGATAATGATCATACAGTCGTTCCAGCAAAGATATATGAAGTCTTCTTTCCTTTGCAAAATTAGAAAAAAGTTCTGGACTCATTTGCATATGATCACCAGCTAAAACAATTCTGGTATTTTCTCCTGCCAAAGCCAGAGGCATAATAGCTTCGCACTCCATTGCTTGGGCAGCTTCATCTAAAAATATATGAGTAAAAAAACCTTTTGGTAACCCTAAAAGAGCTAGTTGCATCGAAATATTCAGTGTGACAACAACGATACGATGTTTTACAATATCTTCCACAGAAGGACGTCTAAAATTACCAGAAGATGGATCTATTATACAATACTAAAAAAAAGCAGCGTCAGTCATTATTCTTATATTGTAAAGTATTATGGTATATTCTTATATTTACCTTTTGAACAACTTGATTTACTGTAGCTACCCATCGTTTATGATAATAAACTCTTAATGGTACAGCTTCTTTCATCCCCTTTTCTACCCAAGGATGCAAATACTCTTTGATATATAAATCAGCGGCTGAATTAGAATGGGTGCATATCAAAATTCTTGACTCCGGTTGTGTCAATAATTGCTTAATCGCTTGCGCCAATGTGAAAGTTTTTCCTGTACCAAATGGTCCAATTAATAAAATTGGTGGTAAACTACAATTTATTGGAGTAGTTATAGCATTAACAGCTTCCTTTTGTTTAGCGTTTAACTTTGGATCGCAGACCTCAGACCATTGCTTTTTCGGAGTCCATGGGATATTAGGTTCTATAAATGTGTCTGGAAATATAATTTTGAAATCAGTGATTTTGTCAACAGCATTGTGCCATTCACAATATGATAATCTGTTCAATTGAAATTGAATATCCACTTGAACGTCAGTGTCCGATTTTAAACTCATTCCCTGCACACATTTGGCTGACAATTTTAAATACATCATGTTTTTCCCCTTATCTTCTATGAGGGCTTCAAAAACATCACGTTTTTTCTTTAGATGCTCGTCCTTTGGAGTTGGAGAAAGATACACGCTCAAACAATTCGACAAAATTAGGCGACCAGCGGACGTATCTTCAGATATATCTTTGTCTAAAGTCATTAAGCCAAAGAGTTCCCCTGAATGTGAATATTTTGCAGTGCTGGTTGCCATACCACTTGGAGTTAACATGTAACTAGACGTTATTCTTAGTTTAGTCGTTAAGTTATATCTTGCTACTTGTTCGTATCGCGCTATTTCTTCAACATATAACAGTTCATGAATACGCGAACGATAATTATTTTTAGTTAAACGTTTTTCTATTATAGTTGATTGCGTTAATGTAAAAGTAGCAGCACGGGGACATGGATACCTTTCAAGTAACTCTTTTTCCAGTTTTTGATCGTGTAAATAAGAGTCAGTCTTTAAATGTGAGCCAATGGTGGTCTCGAATTTTACTAGATTGCAATTGGTTTCGTCCCATCTTTGCGCTGTAGAGCTTATTATATCTTTTTTAATTTCTTGAATTTTTTCGGCATCACCTACTGGAAGAACATCTACACATAAATGTTTGACCAGCACTGGCTCTGTACCAAAATCAAAGCACACTGATTGACGAAATGTGCCGAATATTTCTGTATTAAAGGTTATTTTTATTTTATGTTCCAATATTTCGCTGAATTTTGTTAGATTTACAAATGTTTTGTCAAATGTGTTTGAAATCCATTCTTGATCTGATTTAAGTTCAACTTCGTTATTTGAATTTTTTGAACCTGAATTATTGGATTTTTTACAATTATTTATGAAATTTATTTTATTTTCGCCAGGACATATTGATTTGATTGAAAAATGGTTCCTATGGGCATCTTGTAGCAATGCAACAGCCTTTAAGTGTTTTCGGCTTTTCAGGATAAAAACCCATTCCCGTTTGGATACTTTTGAACTCATACTTGTGACAAGTTCATTTGAGCACTGTTCTTCTACCCCATCAATTTTTTCACACATTACTTTGTCTGGAGATGAGGCTTGGCCCCATTTTTCCAATAATTCTTCCGTATAACTTTTTCCGTATAGCTCTTTTTCACAAGCTTTTTGAAGCCTCATTTTTCTATATTCGAAACGTTCTTTCCATTCATTTAGTTCGTCTAACCCGTGTGCCTCAACACATTGATTACCATAATGACAACTTTGCGATTCTGAAAAGCTTTCACATAAACTATAAGAGTCTATTGTGTAGCCTCTTGGTGGAGGCCGCCATTTCCAATCTCGTCCTAGTAAAATAAAGCAATATAAATATGTATTCGTCTTAATTATTTGAAAATACATACCTTCGTCTGACATAATTACGTTTTGGTGTGTTTCAGTTTGACAATGTTGTCTTAATTCATTTTTGTCCTGAAAAGTTATTGCGCAATATGAACATGTAACTGTTCCATCACTGTTTTCACTTGCTTTTTCATTTAATTTAAGATTGCTAATTAATTCAGAAGCTGAACTAACAGTATTTGTTTTAGGTTTCTGCAGTACACTTATAACACCAGTAATGTTATTCGAACTACCACTTTTACTTGCAATGTTACCATTGGAGCTATTATTATTACTAGAGTTTCCGTTATTATCACCACGTTGTTGTTGCTTAATGTTATTATTAATAGTATTGTTACTATTATTATTAATATTATTACTATTATTATTTGTATTATTACTGTTATTATTATTACTTATGCTATTAATATTATTCTTAACACCTTTTAAAGTTAAGTGTTTACTATATTTGTCTAACGGTAAATTATTTGTAGCCCAATGTTCTAATTTTGTATCTATTTTTATAATTTCGGTGTCTATTATTTCAGCAATCTCACTGATTGAACTAATTGGCGCTTTACTATTAAACACTAAAGACCCATTTGCATATTTGACATGAGTCTTATAACGTTCTAGAGTTTTAGATATATCATTAAAAGACGGTTGGAGTGAAATTTCTTGAATCCAATCATTAAGAGCATCTTCAGCTTCCTAAAAAGAAAATATTTGCAAGAAATTATTACAAAAACAATAAAAATTTTGTTTTTATACAAACCGTAAATTTTTTTAAACGACATAATGCGTACACCAAACGTCTTCTAACTCTTGAAATTGTAGTACTACATTCCAAACTTTTATCACTTAGAATTGTCAATATATTTTTTCCTTCAACAATACATTTATCATATTTTGATAATTCAAAAAGACATTCGTAACGTCCAAGAAAACATATAATAGTTTGATCGTTTATTGGAGAATTTGGTCCGGGTTTACCAAAAGCTTCCGTTGTTGTTCCTGTATCATGTTTTCTGTTTTCTTCCAATATTTGATCGTACAAAGTAAGAGCTTCTGACCAAATATGTTTACGTACAAATTCATGAGCTTGATTTTCCTTTTCGGCAATATTCGGAGAAATTGTCAACTGCTGCGATTGTGATGCAGTTGACATTATATATATGTATATATATATGTATATTTATATGTATATAAATATATATGTATATGTAACGTTGAGTAAAATATAATAGTGGTTGTTTTTAAATTTTACAAAAAAGATAAATGTTTAAACGAAAGATATAAATTATTTATATATGAATGCATATATACACGATGAACTTTTAATATTCACGATTTCAATAAAACTATAAACCAATCTTAATTATTTTTTATATTTCAAATTTATTTAAGATATCTTAGTTTTCAAAAAAAAAAAAAAAATTATTCAAAATAAAAGTTTCGAAATAAAATTATAAACAAATTGTTTTTAAATTTTTCTTACAGGATATCAATATGTATTAATTTTCTTTTATATTCAGTAGTATAAAATAATATTTCGCAAGAATATGCTGGAATAAAAAATACAAAATTTAAAATTAATTAGAATTATTTTGAATGAATGATTATTATTATTTTAATCAAATTTTATACAATATAGCTATATTTAATTTATGTATGTAATTAAACTTAAGCAAATTTTTAAATGAAGTAAACAGAAAATTTATATATATATATATATATATATATATATATATATAAATTTTAAATGTAAATATGTAAATACCTAGGTATACCTACCTACCTATTTAGGTAGATACTAATTCAATTTTATATGCAGTATCTGCATATACAATTAATTAAAAAGATAAAACAAAGACAAAATTTTGAAAAAAATTTAAAGTTTTCCATAAATAAGGAATTGAAGAAGTATAAAAAACTTATTGCCTAATAATTTTTTTATTTTTCCCGCTAAAGGATAATTAATTTTTTATTGTTTAAGCTCGCAAATAAAATAATAAATCATACATATATAAGTAGGTATCGATATATTAATTTTTTTATATACATATTTTGTGAAATCGGTGACTTTATTTTCTATTGATTTCTGTTTCAGTTGTTTTATAAATTATGTTGATTATTCAGATGTTAAGGAACAAGCAGGAAGTTATCTACGTAAAAAATAATTTGTTTCATGTCTCAGCCAAAAACAAAACATGAACCAGAAAAATTTAGAAAAAAACTACCTACATAATATGTACATATATAATTTTATTAATATATTAATAAAAATTAAAGAATCAATTTTCCATTTTATTTTGCTTTATGGGAAACAAAATATAGGGGAGAAAACAACAAGGTTTTTTTTCCAATTTTTAATTACTATATATAATTAATTGATTTTTCAACAAAAGTTCATTGTTTTAATTTTCATATAATGAACAAGGTAAGGTTTTATTAATGTGTATGACTATATAGATATATTTTTATACATAAACACACATCATAACATAAACATATACAGTATGTGCTTAAATATGTAGGTATTTTGTGTGAAATTAAAATTTAATTGATATCAGAAATTTAGTAAAACAAATATTATGGAACTATCTGTAAATATATTTGATATAAACACAAAAATATAATGAAATATAAAAAAAACTTTTTAATTTTTTTTTCCATTAATTATAAAAATAGGGCATTCTTGCAGTTAAAAAAATGCAAATAGCTATGTATTTTTTTTGTTCAAAAAAAAAAATTGTGTTGTCAAAATGTCGGCAAATAGTTCTTTTTTTAATATCGTTTTTTTTTTAATAATTTTATATTTTTATTTTTTCCAACAACAATTTGTATTTTCATTTCTTAAATGCTTAAAAGATTATATCATAATTACTAATTTCACCTAACATAATTGAAATAGACGCAATTTCCATTATTATTTTGACATTTTGAGTCCACATAAGATTTTTTATGACACTACATTTGTTAAAACATATAAAATTTTTTTTTTATCACCATATTTTTATTTGCACTTAAAATTAACACAAATTTCATTTTTTTTTTAATCAAAATAATTTTCTTTAAATTTTTCTTTTCTTATTATATATTATCCATTTTTTTCTTTTTTTTTTTGAATAAAGAATATTATTACTAGTCATGTCTTCCACAAGAACAGCAAATTAAAATCCCAATGCAGATTCATTTTTTTATTCTTCATTTATTTTCATAATTAAAAACCTTTTTTAAATTAAAAACTAAACGAATACTTATGAATTTTTTCTTACCGTTTATTAATAACGCTTTAAAATAAAAAATGAAATTGAAATTTCACATTTTTTTTAATGATTTACTTTCGGACACTACAATTTTGCAAAATATTAAACAAGGCTAAAAAAAAATTGAGAAAGTAGTGGTGACTGGAGTATATGACAAAATGTCATACTGATAACGTCAAACTGGTAGCTACCGCAATTTACTTCATGTTTTAAGCAAAATATGCGTTTACATAACAAAAAAAAGAGATTGAGTTCGGATTCATCACAAAAAATTATGAGTATAATTCTGGCTAGTTTAATTGTATTCAGGATTTTACTAACCATACATGGTTCAATGTCTTACTCAAGTTATTTGACTTTATATCAATTATATATACAATAGCTGAACATCTTTTTTAAAAAGATTGAACTAAACGGGTGCGTACAAGGTTCGAAAACTACGTTGATTTAACCATTAACTAATAATAATTAGTTCTGCCACAATCAACAATTCAACTTCAACATACATACAAAATATAACAAAAGAATAAAAATCATTAAAACATACAAAATATAACAAAAGAATAGAAATCATTAAGATATTCACATCATACATAATGTTAGGAAATAGTACAAACAAATATACGAGGAAAGAATAATTTTAACATATTTTGATTCATGATGCATTTGGATATTTGTAAAGGTAAACACTATTCGAAAAGAAACATAATTGTACTATATATAAGGTACATACTATATATCTACTCAACATATTAAAAACTTTTTGTTATCTGCTTTTGTATGATAACTAGATCAATGATTTACATACGTAAACAAGATTTTTCACAAGGGGAATGATATCTATGTCAACCATTGATGCAAAAATCATCGTGTAAACGCAATTATTCTCTATTGGGGCAAGACTGTCGTGAGTCGAATTTTAAATGGTACAGGGAACCTAAAAGCGCAGTACCAGAGACAAAAGATGGTACATATATTAATTTAAGTACTCTGCAGTAAGTTTCAGTTTTAAGTGTTTAATTTGAATATCCTATTCTTCTTGAAAAGGAAACTACAACCCAACAATGGAAACAAGTACAAATATCATGAAGTTGTTATAAAATCTTTATATACCCATGGATTTAAATAAAAAATTATCGATTTTCTAAAAGACGACATATAATATTGTGCTCTTTACAAAATCACGATGTGGATTTGATTGAATTAAGAACAAATTTTATAAGTAAATTATTTTGCATTGTGACATCGTACACTGTCATTGATATCACAACTATGTATCTTTATCGTTCTTGTATTGTATTAATTGATTGGCGGTTACATCCCACAAAAACGATTAACACCATTTGTTTTGACCCTATTAACAGATTGATTATAAGTAAAATATGTATTTATAAAAATATAACAGTAAATATTTATGTTTCTTTGCAACGTGTGTGAAACAATGTCACTCATTTCATACAATATTGAAATCTGAGCAGTCAAAGCAAAGTGACCGTTAACCGAACCAAACACTCAACCTATGTATGTATATATAAGAATGTACGCATACCTAAAAAAAATGGAAAAGTTGAAATATGTATGTAAATTTATTTCTTTTTAATGAAAAAATTATTTGGTAAGAAGCTATACATAATGCTTTTTTGTATTTAAATATTCGTTAAAGAACATTTGTTTTTTTGATTTCATCAGAATTTTTTTCTGTATTGGTTGTTTCTGGATTATTAAGGTGAATTGATTTATGCATTTTCATTACGTGACGATTAAGCCTGATTTCTGTATCAAATCGAGCCTCACAAAAACTGCATCCATATAATTTTTCTTCCGCATTGTGTTGCTTACAATGTTCTTGGAATAAAATTGAACTTTCGAATCCAATATGGCATATTTTGCATTTATATGGGGATTCGTTTGTATGCTTGGCTTTCTTATGTTTTTTTAAACCTTCAGGCCTGGCATATTCGCATTCACATAAATCACATTTATATGGATTATCAATTCGTGTGTGCATTTCTTCATGTTGACGCTTTTTATTGAGTTTCAGGAATCTTTTACCTAACAATGCAACATTTAAATATTCTTAAATATTTTCTTTAATACATTAAAGTATCTTAAGAGCATCTTACCACAAAAGTCACATTTGTAGTTGTATTCTCCTTTATGATACAGCCGTTCATGAGCATTTTTGTTAACGTTAGAGATGAAGGTTGACGGACAAAAACTACATTCAAACGGTTTGGAACAATTTTTAGATAATCTTTCTTCATGACGTTTAAGATGAAGTGTTAAATAATCAGCACACTTAAAGCTTTTATTGCACAAACTGCAACTGAATTTTAAATTTATTTCATTTCGCTTTGATACATCATTTTCGTTGTGATGTTTTTTCTCATGAATTTGTTTGTTTAGTTTGGTTTTAAAGTAATGGTTACAATTTTCACATTTGAATGGCTTAAATCCTATATGTGTTTTATCATGTGATTTCATGGATGAATGAGAAAAGAAAGTTTTTGGACAAAAACGGCATTTAAATGGTTTTTCACCTGTGTGAGTGCGAATATGATCTAAAAGGCGGTTTCTAGAAGTATAACCTTTGCCGCATGTTTCGCATATAAGCCTTTTCACACCCTTATGAGTTTTTTCATGTAATTTTCTTTCTTCACCTCTTTTTAATACTAATTTACAAATATTACATTGCCAATAGCCTTTTGGAACTTGTTCAGTATTAATTTTGATAGCTTTATCAACCTTTTTCCTTTCACAATCTGCATCAAATTTAAGTGAATCACTATTTGAACCGATGTTAGCTTTTTTAAGATTTTCAGATTTGCAAACAGGATCTGAAATAATGGTTTCACTTTCGCTATAATCAAATTCTTGATTTAGTTCCCTGCTGTTACAAAGAGAATCTGAATCAAATGTTTCAGTAAATAGATCATTTCCAACATGTATTGCTATTTTTTTTGTAATAAAAGAATGCTGTTCAAATAAGTGATTCCAAAATTCTTCTAATGTTTTGCTGTTTTTATTACAAAAGCTACAATTCAATAATGGTTCGTTTTCTACTGTTATAAAAATATCGCCACATTTCGGATAGTTTTGAAATTCTGTCTGTGTTTCTCTTGAAAAATATGATTTTATCCTATCGCATAATTCTTGCTCAATATCACAATATTTATCATCACAAGTTTCTTTTTTCATTATGTGCTTTTTTTATTTAAATTTGATATATGAATTATGTATGTATGTAATGTAATGAATGTGTGTAATTTTGTAAATTATTTGACAGTTTCCGTAAATCTGACATTATTGGTTATTCATGTTTGTGGTTTTGTACATTTTGAAAAAGTCATTGCTTCTTGTTTAGTTTTTGGACGTTACCTAGCTGTGTTTACATGTCAACTTTTGCATCCAGAGTTAACATAGGTTTTATTCCCCTTGGTGTTTAATTTTATATATAAAAGTCCAGGTGTAAACATAGGTTACTACCGTTATTTTATGTAGGCATTGAAAAATATATTACCGTTTCTCTTTTCTTTACTGCTTTCTTGCGCAAAACTTTACTAATGTAGAATGACAAACTGGCATTTACCAGAGGACGTTATTACCTATCAGAATTGCGACTTAGTTATTCAGCTAAGAAAACAATTTAATACATACATAGTTTGATACCCCAATGTTCAATTTTGAACTTTTTATTGACAATTTAAAATTTTTTTGAGATCAGTATTTTACGATTTGTTCTCCAATCCTTCTTTACGAATTGGAGGTGAGTCTTTTGCAATTTATTGTGATAGAATATTAAGTTTTATATTTTTATATGCATTTTTTTTCCTTATGAATGTTAACTATTTCACAATTACAGTGATATTCAAACGTTCAGATTATTACATCTTCAATGTTAAAATGTCCAACAACAAAAGCAGTTAATTTGCAAAAAATGTGGGTACTAATGGTTTATTAATACTTTAGAATATCTAATATGCTTCATTAGTTGTCATCTACTTGTTTTCCAATATTTTTATGCATTTTACTTATATGTCTATCCAGAATTATTTGCGTATCAAATCGAGCTTCACAATATTTGCAACCATGAAGTTTTTCTTCAATGTAATGCTGCTTGCAATGTTCTTTAAACAAAATAATGCTTTCAAATCTAGTTTGACATACTTTACAATAATAAGGCGAGTCTTTTGCATGTTTAGCAAGTTTATGTTTTTTTAATGTAATGGATCTTGCGTATGCACGTTCGCATAAATCACATTTATAAGGGTTTTCAATGCGAGTGTGTGTTTCTTCATGCTGCCGTTTTCTACTTAATTTCAAAAATGCCTTACCTAGAATGAATTAGCAATTAAAATTTTTTACATGTACAACTATACAAATGTATTCTAAAGATATTTACCGCAAAACTCACACTTGTAGTTATATTCCCCTTTATGATTTAACCTTTCATGAGCATTTCTGCTAAATTTAGAAAAAAAGGTAGATGGGCAAAAATTGCATTCAAATGGTTTCAGAGAACTTTTATTTAAGTTTTCCTCGTGACGTTTTAAATGTCTTAAAAGATATTCAGTACATTTAAAAGTTTTGTTGCATAATTTGCAAGCTATATTAGAATCAATTTCTGTTTCAATATTAATTAGCTTATCCTTATGATGCTTCTGCTCATGAACTTGTTTGTTGAATTTTGTTCTAAAGCGATGCTCACAATATTCACACTGAAATGGTTTTACTCCAAAATGTGTTTTGTCGTGTGATTTTAAACCACTATTTGAACAAAATGTTTTCGGACAAAAACGGCATTTAAAAGGTCTTTCTCCAGTATGCGAACGCATATGATCTAATAAGCGTCGTCTCGTTGTGTATGCCTTACCGCATGTTTCACATATTAATTTTTTTAAACCTTTATGAGTTTTTTCGTGCAATTTTCTGTCATTGCCTTTTTTTAAAATGATTTGGCAAACGTTACATTGCCAATACCCTTTTTCAACATTGAGATCTTCAGTCTTATTAAGTTGTGATTCACAATTTGTAGATTCTTTGATAATATTTGGTAGTTTGAAATCATTGAACCTATTGTATTTAATATCATGGTCTTCGTTATTTGTGTATACTTCACCATCGGGTTTACTTTTCTCATACGTATTTGGGTATTTATGACTTATTTCATTTGTTGTTTTGGATTGTATTTCTAATTTGATTTTGTTAGTAGTTGATGAATGCTCACCTAGCAAATGATCCCAAAAAGAGTCTAATATTTTACTGCTTTTTTCACAAAAACTGCAATTAAGTAAAAGTTCATCGTTTGCAGAAATAAATATTTCACCACATTTGAACAGATTTCGGCATTCAGTTTGACTTGCTTTCGAGCAAAAACTTTTATCTTGATTACAAGATTGTTTTTCAAAAGTCATTGTTATTGCATCTTCAATAATTGCATTCATTTTTTTATAGATTTTTAAGAACGAAAAAATTTTGTTTTTGTGGAACACTTGTTCATCATTTTATTTTAGTTTTGCTCAATTATATACATTATTTTTATTAGGTATAAGTATATATTATTTATGGTTTAGCCAGTGCTGTTTGTTTTTATTTTATGAATCTTATTTTGTTTATTTCTTTTTTGTTATCAAAATAAAAATATAAATTAAGTATATATGTGTGTGCAAATGTTTTCCCAGCTGTCAAACATCAAGATGCCGCTTTTCGTTTGTTTAATATAGGGAAAATTTAGAATGCTACTTTAGTACAATTGTGTAAAGTAATATAGAAATATTAACGAATTTTATAATTTTATACACGTAAGTTATTAAGTTTTTGTTAACCAAAACGAAAAACAGATATAAACTAATGTATACTATTCAAATATGTATAGATTAACATTTTTATAGAATATAAATATTAATTGGATTATTCACATCTTAAGATTTTAAATAGTTGCTCTAGCTCTAGAAGGATTTTTATCTTAGTTTGATGCACTAATAAGAATAAAAATAAAATTTATGCAGATCAATAATTTTTCGGCATCTCAAATTCTCTGATATAAAATTACATTATTTTTTCACCTCTAGTCCTTGATAATTTTACTACATTGGTGTACACGGCAATCTTATTCGATTTCGAATTTGGCAACTGATAAACCGATTTAGAATGTTGTTTACGAGTTGAAAGTTTTTTGAAAAAAAAAGCAAGATAAATGGAAAATATTGAAGCGGAAGCTGTAATTTGCGATATAGAAGGAACGACAACATCAATTAGTTTTGTTAAAGTTTGTTTTTAAAATAGTTTTACTATTAACTTGGCTAATGTGTATGTATATTTGCAGGATGAGTTGTTCCCTTTTTCAAAAAAAAATGTCTTAAATTTTTTAACGCAAAACTGCGATAATTCGGAAGTTAAGTTAATTTTCAATGAATTACAACATTTGCCCGATTACAAGGGAAAGTTCTATGAGGATGTCGATAGTACTTCAATCTCAGAAATTGCAGCATTTGCTATTCAACTAATAGGTATGAAATTTACAATGATATGAAGTTCGGTTCACGCTTACAGATATGAATTTGCACTTTAAGATGAGGATAAAAAATTGGGACCGTTAAAGAAGTTGCAAGGCCTTATTTGGCAGGAAGGATTTGACCAAGGGTTGTTAAAAGGACAGTAAGAAATTTAGATTAAATTGATAAAATATATTTTAATTTTTTTTTGAAGTATCTATTCAGATGTACTACCAGCTTTTAAAACTTGGACTGAGAATCAAATTAAAATTTTCATATATTCGAGTGGAAGTGTTCAAAGTCAGAAATTATTGTTTGGAAATAGTGTGGAAGGAAATTTACTTTCATATATTAGTGCTTACTTTGATACAACTGTGGGGTACAAACAAGAACCACAGTCTTATGAAAATATTTTGTCTAATATAAATTTACCTGCGGAAAAAGTTGTATTTTTTACAGATGTTGTTCAAGGTTTAAACATTTTAGTATATATGTATGTTAGTGTACAACCTATATTAAGATTGATAAATTTCAGAAGCGGAAGCTGCTACTAACGCAGGAATTAAAGCTGTATTATTAGAAAGACCGGGTAATTCGCCTTTTACTGAGAAAAGCAGAAGTTCTTTTATTGTTATTAAATCATTTGACGAAATTATTATAAAAAAATAACTATGGTTGCATAAAATAAATAAAATTTATTGCAGCTACTAAAATTAATTATTATAACTTGAAAAACTTAATTATTTAAGCACTCTAAAATGGATGAAGCTTCCGATTCAATGTCTTCTAAGCGTCCTAATAAGATCAGCTAAAATAAAATAAGTTCGATTTTTTAAACATTTCACAAAGTGTAGTATTACTACCTTTGCAGCTGAAACGATTTCTTTAGCCGTCTTCATGTGCAAATGTTCAATTTTTTTTACTAAAAGCGTTGGTTTGCATTTTGCAATATCTTCTATAGAGGAAAACCCAGCTGCATAAAGTTGTTTAGCTCTTGCCTAAAATTTTAATCAAGTATATAAACAATATTTAGGGTTTTTTTTTGAAAATTACATTTTTAACAGAAGGTAGTTGCATTAGTGCTTCAAGTTCAATTGATGAGCATCTATCAAGTTTTTCGTTTAATTTTTCCAATAACGGTTTGTAACACCAATATTTTTCAATTTCTCCACATAATCTAATTATAGTGTTAGCTGAGGAAGAGGATTGCGCTAATAAATTTTGGATAACACCAGGTTCAACTGAATATTTTGATGAAATTTCGCGCAATGGCATTAAATTTATAATATCATTGAGCATTAAAACAATATATATTCTTTCTAACTGAACTTCTAGAGGTCCCTTGAAAGACATTGTTTTAAACATTTTTATAATATGCGCGTCAGTTATACCAATTACTTTAAATAAATCTCTCGCGCTACTAGAATCATTGTTAAACTCTCTAAATAATACACTAGGATCAGTAACTATATTATTTTCAGAAGAATTCAAAGCAACTACCAAATATAGCAAATGAGAATAGTTGGAAAGTACTAGTGATTTAAGAGCTAGTTCTAGCTCTGAATTAATTCTTTGGGCCTTTTCGTAACTAATGCCAGCTTTGTATGCGGCTCTACCTAAAGTACTTAATTCAAATCTGGTTGACTTTCTGAGCACAAATTTTTTTTTATGATGGAATTCATGACTTTCTTCTATTGTACCACTATTTGAAAGTGTTTGACTTTTTATAGTTTCTTCGCTAATTGTAATACTCGTGTAATTTTTTATGTGATGTCTCAGTTTTTCATCAATTATTTTTAAAATTTTCTTTTTAAACATACTTTTTAAAATTTTTGAAATTAGTTCGGGAATTTTAATTTCAAATCTGTCTTTTTGAGTTGCTAATAAAGTGCAAGACACCAATTCTAGTAAGTTTTCGTAAGAACTTGATATTTTTAAACCAATAGCACTTAATACAAGATTTTCTAATCCAACATAGTTGTTGTCTGTCATAGCGCTTATTACATTATCCATTGGAGAAGATAACATTTGGCCAACTTTGTAATTATCTTTCGATGATAAAATTAAAATACTTTCGCCTGTTTCGCCTAGTCCTGCTCTTCCGGCTCTTCCTATCATTTGCTTATATTGACTAAGGGATATAAACTTTTTACCAACATACGGAGCTCTTATTATAACTCTTTTTGCCGGTAAATTTACGCCAGCGGCTAGAGTCGAGGTACAACAAATAACGCAAAGTGTTCCAACTCGATATGCAATTTCCAAAAGTTTTCTTTCATCTGTCATAAGTCCAGAATGATGAAATGCTATTCCGAATGGTACAGTTTCTAATAAAATTGGATTAAGATTTCCACAAAGCTTTTTCAAAGCATCTAGTAACATTGTTTTTTCTTCCTGACGGTACTCCAAATATTTTTTCCTTGAAAATATAAGAGTTATAGAAACTCATTATTATTGTTTGACTAATTTGTTGCACTTTTACTTACTTAGAAAGAACCTTAGTTAATAAAATAGCCACATTTTCACAGTTTTTGCGTGTGGAACAAAATATGAGGCATGAATGTTTTGGTATCACTTCAGATACTAAACCAGCTAAATGATCTGGATCAGCCTTTTCTATACTGGGGGAATACTAAAATTACATGTTTATGTTTTAACGTAAAAATTAAACTTTCACTTATATTCTGTTAGTCGCATCACTTGACATTATTTTTTTTAGAAACTTTTAAAATTTTCTGAATAAAATCAACTCCGAAATTTGAAATTTTATAATGAACACGAAAATACTTTTCAATAATATTTCTTTCCCTCTAGTAATGTGACAAACACAATATGGGTGATTAACTTACTTTATAGTCAATTGACCTACTGAATTTAAATAAATCTTCATGGTTATTTCCGTATGGATTAACACTTAGGATATCCCTACCACATTTTATATATTCTTTTAATTCTACTGGTCTGAATCCTCTAGTATAAACGTCAGCTTTTAGAAAATTTGATATTTCTGAAATATTTCCTATTGTTGCACTCATTCCAATGATTTGTATGCCGGCTATAAAAAAAGGAAATATTGAATATTCAGATGCATAAGAAACCATGAACGTGTATCTTAAAATAAAATTACCATTCAATGCAATGACTTTGCTGAGAAAATTTTCCAGTATAGCACCTCGTCCTTTTTCTCCTATAAGATGTAATTCATCTACGACAATTAAACCTATTTCGTTCACACGGCCAACTTCAATAAGACTATTGAATAAAATAGCACCTTTTTCAATTGAACAAATATAAATAGTTTTGCGTTTGTGTCGGTTTTTTGGTGGACATTTACCTTTGCCCCCTGCATATTCTTCAACATTAAAATTTAATCTTAAAGCAAAAGGAGCCATTGCACTAAATTTTTCTTGCACTATTGAAACGTAAGGTAATATAAAGATAACGCATTTTTCTCTGCAAACTATTTCTCTTAACATTAAAATTTCTGAAACTAAAGTTTTACCACCGCTCGTTGGTAGAGCATAAATTAAATTTTGTCTATTTTTTATAGCAGGCAAATTCAGGCATTCATTTTGCCAATCTAAAATTTGAAATTTGTGATATTTAAAAATACAAAAAAAGATTACACTACAATCATATTTAAAAGTATTTAAAATATTCTGTTCAGTACCATAAAGTTTTTCTATTCCTTTATGTTCCTTAATAAGATCTTGCACAAGAACTGGAAGATTATAAAATGGTCCTTTATTAGGTATAAGGTTTGTTTCCTCTTCAAAAATTTGGGTATCCCATTTCGAATCGGATCCAATGAGAGAGATATTGCAGCCATTTGTTCTACTTTGATATTGTGACCCACAATATATTTTTGAATGATCCAAAAATGATGTGTTATTTACTCCGTTAGGGAGCAAAATTGCAGAATTTAAATCATCAAAAAACTTTTGGGTACATTGAAGGGGATCGACATCATTTTCATTATTCTTGCAAAACAAATCTAAATCTTCGTTGGCCAAGAATATGTCTATGTCATTAGTTTCTTTTTTCTGGATTGGCAGATTCATTTTAGAAAATATACTGTCATCATCATTGTTTAAAATATTAAAGATTTCTTCAGAACTCCGTCTTTTCTTCTTCTGTTTTTCATCAAAAATCTCTGAACATTTAGCATTTCTTTTTATTTTAGTATTTTTATTTACAATTTCTACATTCATGTTTAAATTTTGTTTTATTAACAAAGTTCATAGATTTAACTAATGACCATTAGGTTTTATTACTTATTTATGAGGGTTTCGTTCGTTATGCTGAACTATTAAAAATTGCTATATTTATATCACCCGAGCATAAACATTTAGTTATTTAAATTTTCAATTTATTTAGAAATTATATATAATTTATAATAATTAATTATAAATTAATTCAGAAACATTTAATTAAAAAATTTACAAAAATTGATCTTGAATTTACAAAAATTAATTTAATTTTATCCCGCTTAAAAGATGTGCCACATAAAACTATCTTAATAATATGACAATTTCAAACGCTCCCTTAACCTAAAGCCAACTATTCACTTTTCAACTATTTTTATATCACAACGATAGTGTTGACTTCAGCTATATTTATTTTTAATTTTAAGTTCTGCTTCAAAAACAGATACACGTATACGTACAATTCAAAAATACGTGTCTATACACATTGTCGAAATTCTATGTTTCGGTTTGATGTTTGAATTTTTGAAATGAAATAAGTTTTATTAAAATAAACAATTCTGTTCTGCTAACGCATTGTAAATAAGAAAAATTAAAGTTTTATTTTTTTATTTTCTTTCTTAAAGGTAATTGTTAAAACACTCTCAAACGCAACTGTGGGACACAAACATGGTAAAAATTTTTATGGAGCTTACCATAGACATCTTTATATTATACGAGTGCATTATAGGAGTCTATGGGCTTACCCTTTATTCAACTTGTTCTATTCAACACATTTTAACATTATTTTAATTTTTTTTTGAATTTACCGATGTAATTTTATAACATACAAAGTTAAGTCCACAAATTTAAAATTTTTTAATTTTTTCTTTAACCATAAATTGGTTGATCCACTAGTCCACTATCAACGCATTGGATCATTATATTATTATATGTACGAGTATTTGACAAAACAATTGCGAAATTTAAAGTGGGCAAAAAGCCTTAAATAACGCTTTTACCAGAAAATTTCTTTTTTGACTGCGAAACGTAGATGTTTTTGTGATCTATTATGTAATATATATGTATTATGTAGTATATGTATGTTTGAAAATATTGGCCTTTATGAAAAAAATATATCGTACGATATATTATAGAAATAAGCGCCATTATCTATGAAGCGAAGATCCCATAAAAAAATTTCGAGTACTACTCGTATTTAGATAAATTTTTTGCTTCTTCCTTTACTTGGGAGCAATAGAACCCTAAACTTGACTTGTATTGAGTCAAGCTTCAGTTTACAAATCATTTAATTAAGCGATACCTTAAGCGTCAACCTCCCGTAAATAATTGAAATATTAAAACTAAATCTAAATATGAACTGATAAATAATTTTATTATCTTATATAAGTATAAATATGTATGTATTATTATAATTTCTAATTTGGCAATCTTTTGCTTGATTTATTACATTTTATGATTTGTACAATGTCAAGTATTACAACTTTTGTACTCTTTTTCATTACCATATCCATGAAGTTTTTCTAATTGCCTTCCTTCATGATTCTTAGTGTAATATTTATTGTAAGGAAAATGATAACTTTCTGATATATTGCTTTCATTTTCTAGATCGAGAAAATCTTTATCTTTATCAAACAAACCACTACTGAAGGAATCGTCTTTGCATTCAATCATTTCGTGATCTTCCAAATAAAGTGAATCTAATTGACTTTTAGAATCGGCATTTATTTTGGATAAATATTCTATTTCTTTCAGTCGAGTTATTTCATCACAGTTTTGGCGAACATTTTCATTACTTGGCACATTAAACGTGTTGGCCCCTGTATCTTGTTGTGATTTTTCATTGTTTTGTTCTTTTTCACTTGAAGTAACAACTTTTTTATTCCCGTGCAAGAAAATTTGGTCATCTATATCGGTTTCATTATCCAAAAATGAAGCTTCTTGAGTTTTATTATACATAAAATCTGACTGTTTAGTTTTTTCAAATAGCTTTTTAGTAATTTCAGATCGTTTTTGATGAAATTTTTTGTAATTAATTTGAAAAAGATTCGGAGATATACGTTTTGCACAAATTGGAGTAATATTTGATTCACATTTTTTTGAAGTTGAACAATTTTTTTCCTGTTGATTTGATTCTTCAATATTTTCAGGCTCATCTAAGGGCTCTTGACTGCACATAGAAAAGTGGTTTGTAAAAATATGATTTTCAAATTTGTCTATGCTCTCTGAACTATTGTCGCAATATTTACATACTAAAATAATTTTATTACCACTTAAAAATATTTCGCCACATTTGCGGCGTTTTGAAAATGTTACTTCGCTTTCAAAATTAAACATATTAATATCGTTGGAACTCATCCTTTTTCTTATTTAAATTAATGAATTTTGAAAATTAATTTTAATTATGTTTTGTATTGAGCATTATAGTTTGTAAACAATAAATTTAGTTATCATCTAAATATCATAATAGTAGATGACGCAAATGACATTTAACTGAAAGTTTTGACAATCCATCTGGTGTTATTATAAAAAACCACGGAATTGTGTTGAGAAGACACTTTGTGTCTTGAAAAATTTTAAATTACACATAACGCTTATACAATCGTATAACGTGAATGACTAAATTTTAAATGGGTAGTACAACTTTCTACAAATTCAATATTAGCTCTATTTGTTACAAAATTAACGAAGTTTCTCGATTTTGCTTGCAGAGCACGTTTCATTATCGTTTTATGACAGCCATCGGTAAGTTTTAGAAAATAGGATGATAGGTAAGTAGGTTTTCAATTTTCTTTGTAAAATTGCTTTCATGGTTTTTGCTAGTAAAAACAGCTTTATAATCATAAAAATTTAAATTAAATGTTTCATTTTTATGCATTTATATTAGAGGCTAAGTGCGGTTTAAAAGTGTTTGGATTTTGATTTTGTTATTTTTTTTTAATAAAATGCTATATTAAATAACCTAAATAATATACAATATTATGTGTATACATATGTATGTACACATAAAGGCGATATCTTTGTATAGGTAATATAAATACATTCCATAAACAGTAATCTTCGGATAATTGAATCGCTCCTTTTTATTGCACACCAATATGGGAGCAGTTTAAGTTTTTATACCACCGCTGCGTAGCAATGTATGTACATACTGTATGTAAAGGTTCATTCAATTAACATTTTTTAATGATAAATATATAAGCATTTATATATGTAATATGTGATTCATTTTGTAAAAAAGTAATTATCCGGGAATCACATGTTAAAATAAATATTTTATTTATAAATATCAAATTTTCACTTAAAACATTAACATTTTCACTTAGACTATCTTTAATATTTTATTATTAATATACAATAATTACATCTCTCGTTCTTATAAATACGTACACATAACAATTTTCAAATTTTAAAGTTCAACTAGTTTTTTTTATACTGCACAATCTACATGTACTTTTAGAATGGGAAATAATAAATTTTTTTTTAAAAAGATTTCAAAAAACCAAAATGTCGAAAAACTAGTCCAAAAAAAAAGTTGTGATCAGATTTAAATTGCGGTATCATGATCTAAACGGTCCAATATCCGGAATATTCATAATATCTGAAAATGTAAAGTTATTTAATATTCAATTTTAAAGTAATTGATTAAGTGAAATAATAAATAAAAATATTTCTATTACTAAATATTTGGATTAGAAATTTCACTGAAAATAACTAGAAAGTACATAGACATTGTTTAAATAATAGATCCTAGAAAATTCTTGTTTTCTTTTTGTTAACATTGCATTTAATTTAAAAATTGTTTTAAATTTAACTTACGTGTTCAATTTTTCTTGACCTCTTAAAATATCATGATAATCTAATTCTAATTGACGGATAGCCACTGGATAAGGTCTTTTTGGGTTATCAATTTTTCTAATATGTTTAATCGGGCTTGAAAATTCACATTCAAGTGATGGTGATGAACACTTAATGTTAATTCTTGTTAATTTAAATGGTGGTGCTTTCGTATTTTTGAGAAGATGTGCAATTTCATATGGATTACCTTTTACGAATGGTAACTTTTTTATATTATTTTGTAATTCTTTAATATATTTGGCACTCTCACGCCACCATTTTCTTGCTCGTTCATTTAAATCATCAATAGTCTTTACATAAAAAAAAATATTTAATATTAGTTTGATAAAAATTTGTTGAAATTATTATAGGTACACTAAAACAAAAATAGCAAGAATACTAACAGCGCATGGATATTCTTCTACATTGTACTTTATGTGACGCAAACAATGGCGAGTAGCAAAATTAAGTGAGTGATCAATTAAAGGTAAAGTTGATCGTATAAAACTGGCATGTGTTGGCTGATTGATTCTTTGAATCTAAAAACGAGTTTATGTGTAAGATTAAGACTCTTTAACAAAGTATTTAAGTAAAGTTAAGATGTTTTTTACCAATGAATCTATATCCGTTTTTTTTATTTTTTGTTTATCAGGGTCAACTTTTCTCTTTTCAGTTCTCTTTTCAGCTTTCTTTGTCGTTTTTTTGGCACTTTTTTTTCTATCAGCATTACCAAATAATCCTTTTGCTTCAGCCATTCTAATCAATTGTTTAGCATCTAATTTCGTTATCTGTTTTCTATGTATTAAAGAAATATAGCAGCCAAGTATATTAAAGTCTAAGCATTTATCTCGATTTGCACAAACATCTGGTAGATTTGAAATTAAAAATTCATCAGTTTTTGGCACTTTAACTACTTTCGAATAATCTTCGGGGCCTTTAGCATCAGATGTCTCCGTACTATCTTCTTCACCACCATCTTGTTTAGATTTTTTTGACAGAGACTCAGTACTGTTAGTTCGACTTATTTTTCCTTTTTTCTTAGCAGAGTCTCTGTCACGTTTTCTTGGAGAACTAAATGCAGCAGATGGAATGCCAGATGTTTCCGCTTCTGCTAAAGCTTCCAAACGTTTTTTTTCCTTATAAGCTACTAAATGTTTTTCAAATGCATTGTGATTGATTTGTTCAACTGATTTTTCAACCATATCTTGGTTTTCAGCTTCAACTATTGAATGAGTTTCATATAGAATAAATTGAACTTGTGGCCTTGACATAGAAACACGTAATGTTTCTTTCTGCTCTTCTAATATTTTATTTACCCGTAATCGACCTTCATCACTCATTTCAGATTCAGTAAGAATTTCGAGCATTGATAAATCGCCACCTCGACTACATATTAAATCAATTGGATCCGCTATTCCACTGAAAGAATTGGGTGGTGTTGCAAAAATTCCTACAACTGATTCAAGTGCATTTGATTCTAGTGATAAAGTACAGAAATTTTCCGAGAATATCTTAACATTATTAACATCTAATAATTTAATATATTCGCAATATTCTGTTGTTTTGGAACCGGCACCAAAAGCTAAAAAATTATTTACACGATTAATAGAATAAAAAAGTGCAGCTAAATAGGCAGTAGAACGTGGTGATGACACATGAGTTTGAATTATATCACCTTCAATATCAAAATGATCAAGTAGTCTTGATAAAATAGCGGGTGCTATTGAAAATGTACGATCCTTAAAAAAAAAGTTGTAAAAAATTAAAATTTTTTTTATTATATTTTTTCGAAGTTACATACTTGCAATATAAAACAATTACTTTTGACCAAATCAGATTTAGCAAATTCACTTCGATCGGATGGCAAACATGATAAAAACAAAGGACACACTTTGTCCCATTTATATTGATTTGATAGTAACGGTTTTTCTTCGATAGTATCCTGCTGATTAACTTCAATTAGACCCATTTTTTCAAGTAGATTAGATGCCAAAATTTTATCTCTTATAAGAAAATAACATTTTTTTTTTAATTCTATTGTAAACATTTTATATATAACATTATACTTAATTTTAAATGGATTAATCCATCCGGTGACAATTGGATTTGCTGCTGCAATTGCTACTTTCTCATTCTGTAAATGCAATGGTAAAAGTTCTGATAAATAAAGTGCACCTTTTTTAATACGTAATCTTGAAATAGAAGCGGCTAATTTCACACGATGTTTCCATATTTTTAATGATATATCTGTAAGATCAGATTCTTTGTATAAAATTTCTTGAAGTTGATGTTCTTCTGCATTCCGTTTAATAAAATGACGGGTGTGTAACTCAAAGAGTAATAACCAAACACGATTTTTATGATGTTCTAGCTATATAAGAAAGAAAAATAATAATGTGTCATTTATATTTAAACCAAAAAAAATTGATTTTAATACAAACCGCTTACTATAAATAATATACTTACCTCAGGATATTGTATGAAAAAGGAAACATCATTTAAAGCCTGATTCAAAATGTGTTTATCTAAAAATATTGTAATACAAATATTATTAGCATTTTATATCAAATATTGTTCAAATAATATTATTAAAGATTAACCTTATATGTACATCATTGGTACTCTTTCAGGGGAAGAAAGATCATTAAACTAAATTTTTTTATGGGGTGCTTTGAAATTTATTTTTTAAGTAAATTTATAATGATTTTAAAAACTAAAATTGTAAATTTAAAATAAAATAATAAAAATATTGTAAAAACCCCTTTCATTTTAAGTTTTTTCAAAAATTATGTTTTCATCTCTTTCTATAGTATAGCAATTACTATTAAAAAACCGTTTAAGATATAATAATTTTATTAAGATATATTGTGCCATTGACATACATAATATGTATATCAAAATTTCACGTGTGTTATAATAAGTTTTATATATATATAAATACATTATAATACTCGTGTATTCGGTAATTGATTCTCTAAATTTAATAAGTTATTATTGAATATGATAATTTTTTTCGTATGTATAACAAGCAATAATTTTCAATACCATGTAACAATAATAGAAGATTAGATACTGTATGTATATTAGACTATTAGAGTATATCAATAAAATATACCATTGCCTGTCTCAATACTATACTAAAATCAATATTATATAAAAATATCTTAATCAATATACAATTCAAATTTGCCTAACATAATCAAATAAATTTTTATATTTTAGTTTGGAAATATAGGCTTTCTGTATATTGTGTTATACATTTACATATATAAAAATTGGGTTTTTATTATTGTATGTTACAAAATGTTATAAAGCAGAAAATATTGTTGTAGATCAAGAAATGTAAGTATTTAATTATAGTTACAAAATTTTTATTTAATAACATTAGTTCGTTATTTATAAGTTTATGTTAATTGCTATAAATACTTTTATATATTGATTTGTTTGTTTCTCTTTTTAGGAAATTGAAAATTATGAAAAAAATTATCAAATACAATATAAAGGACTTATTCTCATTGAGTTAAACATGGAATTATAATATTAAGTTTGATTTGTATAACACTAAGGGTAACATTGTTTAAACATCGAATTGTAAAAGCTATGCAATAGCGAAAAAATGGCACAAGGTTTTAAAAATAATTTTTAACATTGAATTTTAATTCAAAATTAATATTGTATATATTTTATATTTAAAATTATTTAATTAACTTACGTCTAAATACATCATAAATTAAAGAATAAACTTTTCTCATTTCATGTTCATCTTCAAATTCAACTTCTATTGGTGGTTTTTTTAATAATTTGCCAGCTTTTGCAATATTTTCTAATGACCAATCACCTAAAGTTTTTATATCAATATATTTTATTGGTAAATCTGGAATACATCTTCCTTTTATTTTAGTAAAACTGGATGGTGTTGTTGATGTTGAAGAACGATCTTCTGATAATTGAGTAGGATCCCATAATATTTTACAAATTTTTTTTGATTGTACTTCTTGAATTTCACTAAAAAAAAATATATAATGCTATTATTTAATTAGATTTTAAAATATTATTTAAATTCAATTTCAAAATTATGTAGGAGTGTATACATAAGTATTACAGTTTATTGTATACAGGGTAATTCAGACTTAAGTATATATTTGTATGTAAATCACATGTTACACTCCTGTAATGTATATTAAACACGTGATATATCTGAAACACATAAAAATAATTTGGAAAAATTTTTTTAGATGGCTTTTGTAATGATGAATCGTCAGTAAAATGTTTAAAAACAATCTAGGAGAAAGCAAATTAAAAGTATATGATGTAGTTACTCCAAAAGAAAGAAAACCGAAAGTACTTGTAGTTGGAATATTTGGAGACTATACTGAAAATGAGATCTTGAAATTAATAAAACTGATTTTAAAAACTTAATTTCAATAGGTACATTTGCATTGTAACACATTTTTTCATAAACAAATTGTAAAACTATTAATTTTTTTGTTGCTTAATCTCTTATGTGGACTTTCAATCTCGTCTTCTGTTAAGTTTCTAGCTATAAGAGTAATCACACTTGAAAATATATGAAATTTAATGATGTTCTATCCGAAAAGCTCGATTTTCATCAAAATGTTAGTTAGCCTCTTTGTCCACTTACCTTTTCAATAATTGTCTTGCCAAATTTTTATTGCATATGGAACTCTAATGTTTTATGTTGCTGAATTTTTTGAGCTTTTTGAATTTATTTTGAATTTTCTATTTAATTTTTAGTTTCCGTTTTAATCTTAAAAGGTGGATCAACTTCAAAGCAACACAAAAATTTAAATAAAATGTTTTCAATGTAGTTATATATATTTATTATACAAATATAATATTGTAGTTGGCGGGTTTACAAAGTTAATAAAATTTCCTTATTTTCCCCACATTTAATTAATTATGAATTTCATTTTTCTATTATTTAAAATTATTATTAACAATTATAACTTTTTAATTAAGGTCACTCATAAATATGTCATAAGTTGGTATATAAATATAAAAGGGTTTATGAGAAGTTACGTTGATATTTGTTTTATATTTTGAAATTTAAATCACATTAAGTAGGTACAGTGTAGTTTAAATAATATAACGAATATAGTATATAATTTACTAAACATGAAAATTACACTCTTAACCATTTTACAAAAATATTCTATAAGATTCAAATCTAAACACAGTTAGCTTCCAAGTAACTGCTTTCGGAAGTATACTTGTTTTTTTATTTGTATTCATTTACAAATATTTTATAGTTTTTTTTAATTTTTTTTTTTTGGTCGTTAACTTTTTCGGAACTATTTGTATACGTACCCACTTTCTTCTGCTATTCCTAATTGTTTTTGTTCTTCAAGCAGACGATAATAGATTTTATCTTGCCATTCAAAATCACTTGGTAAATATACAAAATCTTTTTTTAATGGACCGTCATTTTTACGTTTTTCATCTTCAGCATCAAATATTTCCTTAAATACCGTTGGATATATTGAAAATATATTAGCTGAACTTATAAAAAATAATGAATCGGACATTTTCTAAAAAAATTTTATCTATTTAAAATTAACTTGGATATTAATTGCATTTTTAATTATTAATTATATTTAAATTTATATAAAATTAATTATACTATTATTCCAAAATTGCAGAATAACAAAATTATTATATGAAAAATTTTAATATTATTTAAGAATTATTTCCGCTCAACTATTAAAGTTCTCGGTTATACTTTAAATCTAAAACTAATTTATTTCTCGATATTGTTTTATTGTAAAATAAAAATATATAAATTCTAAAATAAGCAGATAAACGTAAAGGAAATAAAAATAAACTAAATATAAATCTAAGGAGTAAAAACGTGAACAGAAACTGAATTTAATAAATATAAAATTGTATAAAAATATTGTTTTAATATTATGTATAAATATTGGCAATGATTGAGAATTTAACATAAAAATAATTATATATATATACATACATTTAATGTATATAATGAAAAAAATGTTGAGTTGGCAATGGTTTTTATTTATTTCCACTGTTTTCTCTGTCATTTTGTAAAATTTTCGAAAGGTTAGAAATATTTCTTAGGTACCTTCCCTGCACAAAATTTACAATCACCGAAAAATTCAGAAAATTTCAATTTTCGACATTTTATTTTTTCGAAGTGTATGTTTTCTCAAAATTCTGTAACAGTAAAACCTAACGGTAAATATGTCTCGATTCATCTATCATCTAGCCATCGATCTGTTATGTTAATACTTTTGTAAGTTCTTCTTGTCATCCTAAAAGTACACAATATTTTGTACAATCTGTTATACATACATACATTTTAAAGAAATTGTATAAAAGATTTTTTTTTCTAAAAGTAATATTTTTTGATTTGTTCAATGTAGCATAGTGTATCAAAGGTTCTTTTTAATTTTATAAAGTTCTATTTCATTTTTTAGTAAAATTAAGAGGAACGTACAAATTCTGTTATACTGTCGCTTTATAAATACAACCACCTTTGCATGTTCATATTCGATTCTATTGTAAATCGTTCTCGTGATACAAATATAATCATCAATCGTTGCAAAAAAAAAAAAAATATAAAATATAAAATAAAAGAGTCAAGTAAGAAAATCAAGAGCTGCAATAAGTAAGAATTCTTTTGTGGGTGAATTATCTTTTAAGGAATTTCAATTTTTATTATATTAAATAAAAAGAGATGGAAAATAAAGGATTCATTTGTTTATATTTAAAAAAAATTTAAAGAAAAACATAGAACTATTAAATAAAATTTTGTATAATATAGAAATAAAATGATCAAAATTACTGTGAATGAAAACAAATCGAAACATATACACATAGGATACAATATAGCATTAAAATATTTCAGATGACCTACATTTTAATATGAGTTTAGAAATATTCATAATAATAGAGAGTATATACTTACATATTCCTATTTATAAAATTACTCTAGATAGAAAAATATTTTTGTAATTGAAAATTTTGGATTGAAACAAAATTTATATTTTAAAATATTATAAATAATGTATATATATACTTTCTTATCAAATGAAATCTTTGTCAAAATAAATATTATCTGAGTGGCAGCAATTATATCAGGCACGTTCAACCTTTGCCGCGGAATATGGGCTATAAAAGTAGAAAGGATTACCTTGAAGTGATATTATTATTAAGCATTTTTATTGAAAAAATGTGGAAGAGTTTTAGTAAAAAAAAATATTTAAAAAATATATGTTAAAAAATGTTTTACAGATGTCGCAATAGATGTCGTAATAGACTAAAGTTATTTTTGAACTAGTTTTAACAATTCGACGAAAAACATAATTTGGCAAAAACCCAATTTAAAATAATTTGCAAGCTTTATTTATTTTTAATGGATCATGAGTTTATTTATTTGTCGTATATTATTTTTTAAGCTGACGGGTCACATTCAATGGTGTTTTCAAAAGTTTTCGTAGGCCGTATGAAATAACTATGGACCATATGTTTTTCATACCTGCCTCATATTTCTTTTAATATTTCCAAAATTATATTGACTATATACAAAATAATTAAAAACGAAAAGAGTGATATTTTTAGGTTATTCCGACAGTGCTTAGTACAATTTTTTTAAGAACTTAACGAATATATATATATAAATTAGAATTGTGAATGAAGTTTTTAAAAAATGTCTTAGCGGTAAAGTAAAATGTTTTTTCTTTTTGAGAAGCAAATAATATATAATTTTATTATATTTCATTTAATTATAAGTTGAGAACTCAAAAACATTGAATCGGCACTGTGTTGAAGATAATTTGAATTCTTTATGTCCTTTTGTTTGAAGTTGATTGTCCTTTCTATTTAATTTTATATGGTCACAGTTGCAATTACGATTTGATAAGGAAAAATAACTTACAATTATATAGTTTCTTCTTTTCTTTTATATTACTCGTATGTTATCTATAATTATGTCATTAATTTAATATTTAATGTGTTAAACATTATATTATGTAGCATTTAGTAAAATGTGGTATAATTAATGGTAATCACAAGTAACGAATTTCAAAAATATATTTTTTATATAGAACTACATATAGAACCGAAATTAAATATTCTTCTCCAGCACGTCATGATATAAAAAATATTTAAATTTCCCGCAATAATTGTGTTCATATTATATTTATACATGATAATAACAACTTAAATGAGAAATTGTGACAAATATAATAATAAATATCAACAATATAAATTTTCAGGTATTTATATTGTTTCTATATAAATATACATATATGTATACTGACGTGACATGTGTTCTTTTTAGGGCTGTATTATTGGAGGTAATTTTTAAAAATGCAGCGATATCTTTTCTAAGGAAATTCTAATATAAAAATTGAAGTAAAAATTATTTTATAAATTTAATTATAAATTAACATAAAGGTGTAATAGGATTTTGCATTTGTTTTCCATATAAAAATATAAAGTCTCCTATAGGAATAAGAGTATGGGTTTGCCTACTCTCTTTAATTATTCCTGGTATAAGTTGGTGAATATGTACGCACTACTCCTAATTATTTATTAATCATAACCGTTCTACATGCTTTGGCAATTATACAAAAAGAAGTAATAAGAAGCAGCAAATACGTAGATCCTATTCCGATAGATAGCTGTATTCTTTAAATGAAAAATAAATGGAAATGTAAAATTTTCTATATTTAAATTAAAGACTAGCTTTAGGCCAATTAGTACTAAACTTTAATTTTAGTAGTTTAACAACTCTTTATCATACATATACCTTTGAATGGAACATAAACAATACCTCCATTATTATGAACCCATATGTATAGGAAAAATACTTATAATAAATTTTGTTTATAATTAAATATTTAAATATATTTACGCATAAAATTTTTTTTTTGTTATACATGCATCTATATATATATATATATATATATATATAGTGTATATTTTATACTGTTAATATAATATTTGAAAAAAAAAATTAAATTTAAGAATTTCCACTAAAAGTGAAAAAGAAAACTTATATGGTATATTAATTTTGTGGAGAACATTTAACATACGCATATACACAGTGTTTCTTATACATATAAATGTATATGCAGAGGATTTATGGTTGCAACAAGTTGTGTGGTTAAATTGAATTCCCAACTTGACTTTATCCTTATTTTTCATATATTATGGATGAATGAAATAATTTTGTATGATAAATAAGTTGTCTGTACATTGTTAAGTTTTGTTTTGCTTGTTTTTTTGTTTTTCCTTTATACTATGCTTTTAATTCGAACTTTTATTACAAATATAACACTACGACATAGTACTATATTATATAATTTAATGAATTCATAAGATTTGTATGTATATTTTCTGTGTACTTATTTAATTTATTCAGGTAAATTACTCGCAATTGGATTTGCACGTAAGGTGTTCTCTATATGAGTACTATACATGTACGCTCAAATATTAAATATATTTATACAACAATTGTACAATGTTATATTGTGTGTATTGTACAAAAAAGTTTTTAAAAGATTTTTTATACACGTAATTGTGTTAAGTTTCTTTTTTTCCACAGCTTATTAATTACAATTTTTCACTTTCTTTTAATATGTTTCTTTTTTGGTGTTATCTTTTCGAATGGACTCCCATATAATATAACAGTTTTTATAATAATATGTTAAAATTTTTGTTATTTTGTTGTTATATGTACATATTATTATTTCCTATGGTACATTTCCTTTGGGAACAAATATATTTATTTTTTTTCCTTAATTTTTTCGAAACTACAATCTCATGTTAGCAAATATGTATAACATATATAAGTATCTGTGTTTACATGTTTTATATCTATATATATATACATACATATTTCGATTATATATTCATTCATTGTCAAATACATACATACTTTTTATGCTTATTACAAAAATAATGCTTAATACATAATATACATACATACATAGTTATAGAGATTAATACATACGTATACTCATATACAAAGCTTATGGCCTTGTATATATATAAAACTACGTGTATTATGTAGATGAATATAAAAATACCTAATATAACAAAAGGTGTCATATTGTCAGATTTAAATAAAAGACAACGATTTATGAGATATTGACATGCTAGATAACGAATAATATGAAAGAAAGAGAATATATGAAGAGAAAGTGGAAAATTGTGTAAAACTAAAGGCAAAGAAAAAACATATTATGTATTTTTTTTTTCAAATAAAGGGTAAAGGATTTATGAATATGTATATTTGTGTGTATGTACTTAATTTCTCTTCATCAAAAAAAAATTTTATTCTTCATTATAATTCTAACAAAATTTTCAATTTCAAAACGAATTAATCTTGTTTTTAATGGTTTGTCTATTTAATTCTAGGATATTGAAATGAAAAGTATTTACACTTGCGTATATTCATATATGTATATGTATATGAGAAGCCGTGTAGATGCACTGAAAAAAATTTTATTTACCTTCTATTCAAACTATAAAGCAATATTATTAAGTCAATCCTCCT